AAACCTTTGTGACAAACCTTCCCCAAATTCCCTTTGAGTAGGGAGAAGTTGGATACTGGAAAAGAGTTGAGTTTGCAAGAGGAGGCATCTTCATCAACAGCAGAGTTTGTACAAACATCCTGGAATGGCTACCCAGAATATTCTGCTGTTAAATAACCCAAGAACCAATTGCCATCATTGCAGACTTCCACAGATCTCTCCACAGATGTAATTTCAAATAGATTTACTGAGGGTCATTTAACCAGTTCTGATACAGCCATTCATCAAATACAGGCATAAGGAACCTGGTAACCTGACTATTACATACATATTGTAAGAAGTCATGCACTATTTATGAACACAAATTGATGCTTTTTTTATTGTTGTTCTTCAAACCCACTAAAATTGAGCAACCTCTTCTATGGTTTAATTCTAATCGAATTCAGGCTTTCGTCAGAGCAGATGTATAACTGCTCCTCCCCAGCCTGCTCCATGTACTATAAAAGCTGCCCTGTTGTAGTAACTCTTACCTTTTATGTTAAAATACTCAATACCTTAAGTTGTGATTACAGTGACCCTTCCAGGATCCTTACAATAAGGAAAAGCCAAGTTGGAAATGTTTGCCATTACAGTTTCACATGTCAGGACAGGGCATGGTACCTTTCCAATCACGTTACTGCTAAAAGCAAGGTGGTTTTTCTGAGTACTTTCTGCTAACAAAGTCTGTTCTTATTGCTGATGGTGCTGTTACCACTATCTCTTTTAGCAGATAAGCTTGAGATCCATACCAAATCTTTAGCTCCAGTCCTGTATTAAGCCTAGACGCTCAGGCTACAGTATCTGAAGGTGAAGCTGCCAAAAGAAATTAAAAAAGCCTTGAGGATACAGGAAATTCAGGGGGCACTGATTCAGGAAAGAGCCAGATGCTTCAGGCTGAGTCAGTGCTGAACCTCCTCACAGATTTGTAGGCAGCATTTTGCCATGACCTTTTTATAAGTTGAGCTGAGTAATCCCCTTTTCATCACTCATCCTTCTTGCACACTCACATGTGTGTGTGGGCTTTAATATAAAATTTTATATTAAATAATACCATAATAGTTATATTTAGTCTTTGAGCTAAATTCACACCTTTCTATCTCTGTGCTTTTGTTGTTTCCCACCTGATACAGCAGGAGACCTTTCTTGGAAAAGCAGTCATCACCAGATCATCACAGACAGAAATGTTCTAAACCTTTGTGACTCCTCCAGAAAAAAACTTTTTCTCCAGTGGTCTCATTAAACATTTGAGTGCAATTGCTACTAATCTTAATACATAAGGAATTTTGTATATGATAAATTACCCTTTCTGTCTTTCAACTTGTTTTAAGTTTGGCCTCAAAATGTGTAGCTTCAGCTGATTCTTGAAGCATTGAGAAAGTCTGCTGAAATAAAACAGGGAGGAAAAAAGTAGAAGTTACAAAAAGCAATCAAAGTATTATTGAGTTTCTTTTCGTAATCTGAGAAGAGATACAACAGAGGCCTCAGCCCCATTTGTTTAATTTTGAAAGTCCAACACAAAGCTTGTTTCCATGTAAGGACTGGTTACTTTTGTTTCAGTTTAATTCATGGGATACCTTTTAGAACCGGCCACAGCCGACAGATGTAGCATTTTTAAAATCCATGGACTACTGACCTGGGGCTTAATATGGGTGACAGGTTCCAGGGGTGTGACTGTAAGTGTCTGACTGAGCCATGTTAAGGGATCAGCTGTGATGCTTGTCATGCGGACTATGTGTTGTGGATGGAGAGTGGGTTTCACTTTCAGAGAATTTTGGTATCATTGGAAAGTCCTCACATGGCTTTCTTCAGCCATAGTCTGTGACCAACAGCTCATAGCATCACTGTGAAATGCTGGAGGGGAAAATCTGAGCTAATCACTCATAATAACTCTGCACAGACCCATGGGGTAAGTTTGAGGTCAGGGCTGAACTGATCTTTTGTGCGAGAATGGCAGTAGCTGTAATTCACTTGCTGGTCATGGGAATGGGTTGAACCAAAGCCTTTTTTTTTTTTTTTCTGAGGTAGATAAGGGGAAAAAGAGCTGACAATGTGACTTAGAAGTATCTCAGTTTTACATGCAAAGGACCCTATCTATGCATGACCTTTCAGGCCTATGCAAGTGAATGCTGAGTAGGAACACTCAGAGCTCATGGTGTTTTATTCCAGTTTTGTGCTTTATTTTGTGTAGGCTTCTTTGTGTCAAAATAAAATCTAAAGAGTTCATAATGATTTTGCTACAACAGTCACTGAAGTCAGATGCTGTCTGGCAGCCCATGTTATGTGGGAAATGAAATGAGATGCCTACTTGATCCTTTTTGGCCATGTGCTTTTTGAATTTGGATAGTTGGAGTGACACTGAAACCCAGCTCCCAGCACCAGCCATCCATTTTACATTCTAGTCATGAGAATTATTTCTCTATACTGTTTTTCTGTTGAGATGCTGCAGATTGTGGGGGGAAGAAGTGGGGAGAGAGGAAGAGAAAATCTGGGGAAGGGGCTTCTGCACCCTGCCACTATAATTCATTGCCATCTGACTTTCTGGATTTTCAGCCCCGCTCAGCCATCCATCACTCTTCATGTGACTGTCACCTTATATCATTGTAATTAGCCAGTCCCAGAGATTTGGCAGTGGAAGTGAAAAAGTCCCAGAAGCTCTCTGCCAATTTAAAATTAACCCCGTCATTACAGGACAGATTGTCCTGCTCCAGAAGTAGCTCCTTGGCACTTGCACTGAGATAATAGCATGGTCCTGCAGTGGTATCCAGCTCCTTGACTCCCTCTACTTTGTGTTATGAGTAGAAAAGTTGTCCATTTTTTTTAAGTTGCAGAGTTAACAAGTCAAACCAATTGCTGCTAAGTTGGAGTTTCAACTATTTGTTGTTGACAACTTCATGTTGTAATCACCTGTTGTTAATAGTTTTTCTTTAATTACCTGTTGTTGATGGTTAGAAATCCCTCTTCGTCGGGTATCCCTCTGCTGCTTCCTGGAAAATGACACCTGGGACTGTGAGGGGGAGGTGACATTGAAGCTGGTATGCAAATGAGGAAGCCCCTCACCAAATCCAGCAAGAAAAACCCCTAAAACAATGAGCCACCATGGAATTAAGATACCTAAGTGATGGCTAGAGGTGAGGAACTGAATCCAGTATATGCTAAGATCCTTTTTACTTTTCACCCTAACCTAAAGGATGTCGGCTAGAAAGAGGACCTCGAATGTCAAACTGAAGAACTGGAATCTCCTGGTGCTCTCATGATGACAGAAGCCCCAGCTCTGCCTGCAGACCAGCGGACACAGCTGCACTCATCCTCCTCCTCCTCCGTGCCACTCCTGGGAGCAGCAACGGCGTGTGCGTGACCCGTCGGTTCTCCCCACCTGAGCTGATTTTTAATAAAGGCATTAAAAAAGGAGAAAGATCTCCTGCCCTATTTATTTCAGTTTGTTGTCCTTGTGTCCTCCCAGCTCTCATGCTGCTTCACCCGTCTTCCTCCCTCCATGCCACCCCTCTTTGCTGCCTATGAGAACTGAAGCTACTAATGAGGGTGCTCAAGCCAGCAGTCCCAGTCCGTGGGTGGATGATAAATTCAGCTTTCTGTGGTTGTGCCAATTGAGGGCTGACTGCTCAGCCTCAGAAAAGACCTTGCTGTTCTGTCTCTGTTCTTCCCATCCTTCTGGGACTTATCCCCCTGTGCCAGCACTGCAGAGTAGAGAGCCACCAGGGTCCCTGCCCGTTTGTGTGGCCATTGGTTCAATCTGCTGTCTAAGACTCCCTGTCTTTGTTGCTGGCAGTGTCTCAGCCAGGTGGACGAAAGCTAGGTCAGATCTGCCTTCTCATGCTACAAGCTCCTCACCTTTGCTTATAAACTTTCTCCAAGTGTGATTGGCAGATGCTGTTGTCAGGCGCCTCTTTACATGGCATTTACAGATCTTGCTTCATTGTCTTTTAAGCAGGGGGTGGCTGGAGGTCATCCTTGTTGCTTTCTTCAGCTAATTAGGTGCAACTCCTGCTCTGCTGCTGTACAGGGGTGACAGCACTGACAGCTCACTGGAAGATTGCCTTCCCCTGGGAAATAGCTCGGGTTGCAGACAAAAAATTGAGATATGGAGATTGTGACAATATCTGATGCCCAGTCTCTGTGGTCATTCTATCTGTTCAAACAAATAGAACACAGTCAGGTAATGAAGGTCCTGATGGTCGTGCAGTTCAGCTGGGTAATGAACTGTTTCAGTGAGTGTGACAGGCAGGTTTGACATGGCCTGGGCTCAGATACCATTCTGACAGAGTTTGCATATAATCAAACATGTATTTGCTTAACCCATTCTGCACCATTCTGTCAAGGCACAGCTTTTTTCACTCTGACGTTCACAAAAGCTGGCCCCCTAGTCCTTAAGGACAAGGTGATGCCTATTTTTTTTGCAGTAGTTCTGCACTGCCATGATCAGTTCTCATCCACGGTGTGCTTTTCTCCATCGCCTTGCTCTTGCAAGCAGTTATAAAGACCTGTTTTGCTACAAACTGTCTACTATTAATTTAACCTCTCTGGGAGGCTGGGCCAGAACAGCTTCTGCTCATCGCCACAAGAAGCGTAACTGAGAGCCCCTGAAACATGATTTTGCTATCTAGTCTATATTTGCTTAAGCCATGAAGTTTCTGAGCCTGCTCTCAACCTTCAAACATTTGCCTTTGCACCACACAATTTACTGAGCCTTATACCAACCCACATGGCAGGGCATGTTTATGTGAGCGCTCCTGTGTTTTGTTGGTGTGCCTGACACCACGCTAGATACCAGCAGTAACTGTGCTCACTGAGAAGCAGGTAAGTGCCCACAAAGCTGTTACTGCCTTAAGCTTTTCTAATCACATCAAATTCCCATGGTTTGCCAACTACATCCACAGAATAATGTATCCTTTTCTTTGTGCTACATTCTAGCTTATTTTATTGCATGGAGAGCTCCAACAACTTTATTAGGGCCGTATGTTCTCTGTGTCTCTTCTCAGCTTTAGTACATTTACAACCGCTGCTCATCGTGAGAAAAGGTTGCATGGAGGAGTAGACTTGAGGGTGCATAACTTTGGTGTTATGTGGTTTATGTGCATAAATGAAGAGAAAATACTTGCCAGTAAATGGAAAGATAGACATGGAAAGAACAAAAAAGAATTAGCAGAACTCTAAAAAATCTCTGGAAGCAAAGTTGTGTATTTGGGGTATTCATAAGGTGAGGCATGACAGGCACTAGGGAATAGTCTGTGTTGCACCTCATGACTGCCATCAAGGGAATATGACAAGATTAGGAGGAATTTCTGCTCATCACTTAAATGCCCAGCTACATTTTATGTCCACACAGTGCAATGCGAAGTGTCAGCACTCATTGGTTTAGGAGCTCACGATTTAAGCTAACTGGAAATGTTTGTGGATAAGTCTTGCATTATGGGATTGAGCTGCTTCTGTAACCATACCCAATGACTCTTCCTGGTGAAGCATGATAAATGGAAGAGTTTTCTTCAGCAGAGATCAGGTACTTGACTCTGGCCAGGAAATAAAGGCCAGAAGTTGCTATTCTGCTAAGCATGGGAGGCAACATCACACCATCCTTAAGTTGCAACAGGTACAGCATAGTTCAGGTTGGAAGACACCTCTGGAAGTTTCCAGATCAACATCTTGTTCAAATCAGGGTTGGCTGAAGATCTGACCAGATTGCTCACAGCTTTATCCAGTCTTGAATATCTCCAGGGATGGAGAACGCACGCCTTGTCATTTTTCCACCTGCAGACAGAAAGCATGAGTTATACAAGTGCAATGTAATATCTTTGTGACCAGAGGAACTTGGTAACAGAATCAGAGCTGCTGTTACTCTGCTACTTGAGCACTCCTTGCTCTGTAGCTCTCTTTATCACTCTACCCTTCAAAGCATGATGTTGTAAATAGTGTATTTTTCACTTTAGGAGGCGTGTCCTGTCTCTGTGCCATTAGAATGCTTAGCAACATGGATGCAGATGCATGCCACACATGCAATGAAAGTCAGACTGTCTCTCAGCCTATATTAGGCACATTTCCCAGCTCTCACATCATAATTTTTATGATGAATTCAAAACCCAGCAATTAAAAGGAGTGCACCAGTGTTCTTTTATGTCAGCAATGGGTTAGACTAATTGCCTTTGAAACTATCAGTGTCCCTAGCCCAGTAGTGCTGCAGCTCTCCAGATGGCAACCTTGCACCCAGTAAAAGAACTGTGTGTATTGCCTAAAACCCTTTTTATATCATCCTTCCAACAATATAATTGTATATTTAAACCATCTTCAGAATATCAACAGTTCAGCAGGAGTTGCTGGTTTAGTAAATCCTGGAATCCCTGGTTAATAAATCTTGACACACCGGGTTTAGTCATAGCTCAAGATAACTCTGCCACTCTACTGTTCTGAATCCTTAAACAAATTGCTTTGTCTCTTCATATTCCTGTTTGGCCTTCTGCTCATTTTTGGTATTTCTGGCCTAATGCTGTAAACTCAGTTGTTAAGTTACTGTCTTATTATGGATTTGACAATTGACATCTTGCAACCCCAAGCAAATACCCATGTTCTCCAGCTATTAACTATTATTGCTTGCTTCTTGCTCTCTGTCTTTTCACAGGTGAACTCACAGTTTTGTGCTGTTGTGGGAGAAAATAGGGAAAAAAACTACCAACCATTCAGCAGAAAACAAAAAGTAGTTTCTTAGCCAGTGGCTATTAATAACTGCTATGAACCCATCTCTCTTAATATACAATTTCCTGACAGTAACTGAATTTGGCATTTGCATTTGCTTTTATTTCTTCCAAAAGCCCTGTGTCATTTTTTCCCAATTTAAAGTGCTTTTGTACTCTGAAAATTGTTTTTAATATTGGCACTATGGGGCTCTTTATTTATTCTGTCAAGTTTACTCAGAGCAAAAACATGTGGCTTGACAGCAAGAAACTCTCTCTCTGGCTTTTGTGATCTTTGGATTATGGTGGAAAAGACCTTTGCTAACTCATAACACTGCGGATGTCAGGATCTTCATGAACTGTGCAGAAGTGATGGAGAGTGATGAAGGAGAGCGTGACGCACAGCGCTGAGAATAGACAGCGCAGGAAAAGCAGAGACAGCAGGCTTCTCTCCCTTCTCCCTCTCTCCCTGCTTCAGAGGATTTATGACGTAACAAGCTTTGCCGTGAGTTGAATACGAAAAGAATTTCTCCTAGACTGTAGTACAATCAGCATTTTTGCTGCATTGGCTTCATTGCTTCGCTTCAGTACTCTAGTGAGCTGACTGGCAAAATCCCAAGCTGCATGCTAAGATTCCTGCAGCACTGCAGGCAAAAGAGTGCCCAAGCTGCAGAAATAATGAATTTATGTAACTCATAAGTGCCCTTCACTTAGTCAGAAGATTCCCTGAGGAACAGCAAAATCCTAGAGAGGATGTTGCCAACATTCCTTTGCTGTCATCCACTGCAGAGGCAATAATTTGCATATAGTTACTGCTCAACGAATTCCCTGATACAGTCTCTGCTGTCCACACCAGAGCACTGCTGGCTGCTTTCATACACAACACACAGATCCAGATGCCTATAAACATGAGGCCAGGATGATGGGATCATTTATCTTTTCACTAAAATGAAACCCAATCAGAAAAAGCAATTTCATTGCTGTATCTACATCTCTTACCAGCTTACTCTATCCTTTACTGTCTTTTCCTTGCAGTCTGAATACGAGGCTCTCGAGTAAGGTTATTAGATGTTCACAGTGCTGAAGACAATGAGAGCATCAAGGATCTTGGTCTTCCTTCATCAATCACTATCAAAATCACATCAGCATTTATTTGTTTACACTGTGTTCTTTCTGTAGGAAGGTCTGCTGAGACCTCAGTGGTAGTAAGAAGAGAGTGCTGTTTTCTCAGCCATGCTTCCTTTTAAGAATATAAATGGCATAGCTCTTTATGGCACCCAAAATGACATTTTTCCACAGATACCAGTGAATATTTTTTGAGTTGGCTTTTTCCTTTTATGCCTAATTGATACTTTTTTTACACTGTATATTTAATAGCTTTCTGGCACTTTCCATGTAAGAACCTCAAAGTACAAAATTATTGTATCTATTTTACAGATATGGGAATCTGAGGAAAAGCATGGAAAGGTTCACCTGTCATCAAGGTCATACACTGAGTTTATAACAAAACTGGCATTTTTAAAAATCCTAGCTGTTCATCACCATTTCTTTCCCTCTTTTTAGCCATTCCCATTCTCTGTACCTTCTCTCCTTCCTGTCTTCCTTTTCTGCTACCATTTTGCCAATGTCATGTCCTCTCTTTCAGCAGGTCTTATCCCTGAAAGTGGGATTTGTTTTCCATATTTCTGAATGTGGATCTGATACTGAAACATTTCATATGCCATGCAGACTCGTTTGCTGCCAGTCCTGCTTCTCTTTCAGATGCTAACAGCTAGGAAATTCCATAGCAAACTCCCAGCTATTACAGGGACCTTGGACACTGCCAGTAATTCTCCTTTCTCCTGTTATTTTTTCTGTGGCCCATTGTAGTGTTGGATTTTAACTTTTTTATGGGTCATTAGTATTTTTCTTTAGAAATAGGCCATTCTGAAATGTTGTGGAGCATGCAGTGTGTACAGACTCGAGAACAGTTTTCCATGGGACTTTCTGGACTCAGTATCATTTGTATGACTGTGTGCAGCAGTATGTGGTGATGCAGCCCCTCTTTTCTCAGCCTCTATTTCAAACAAAATATTTCTCCACGTGGTTATTTTAAAAACTTCTGGACAATATACTCTGTGAAGTCAGAATAGCCAATTCAAAATTCTGATTTGTATTGATGTGGGCCCTCTTTATGTTTTAGACACTGTGTAAATGTCTTTTCTGGATAGATTTATTATCTTGTTTTTAATACATTGAAACAAGGGGCAGCTGTTAAGGAGGAGGGGAGGCGCTCTGCCAATGTGAGGACACCAGGGGAGCTGTCTGCCCATTTCAATAAGAAACGAACAATTTTTCTTTTGCTTTCCACTCCTCCCTCCTTCCTAGTGCTCCTGCTCCCTTACATTCACTCCTGGAGAGAAGTAGGAGTTCAGTCTCCAAACTGAATCAATTCTTGCTGCCTTTGCTGAGACTGTCATCAGAGCAAGGTTAAGTGTCACAACAATGTTTTTGTGTTGTGAATAGCTTCTCCTATCTGCACTTGCTTGATATAAGCAGGCTTGTAACCCCTTTCCTCTTTTTCCTGCTCAATGCTACATACACACTGCAGATCACTAAAGCTGGAATTACTTGGCTTTACAAAGCTTCCCTAAAATGACTTGTCTCTCCGTGTCTCTCTCCTAAAAGCACCACAAGATCTCTGAAACCCTGTTGTTTGTCTGAGTGTGCTCAGAGGAAAAAAATCTTTATTTTAAAGACCTATTTTTCTTCTCACTTGTTTTACATCTACTACCAGTTATCTGTATGAACAAGGCATGGCAAAACAGCAATAAGAAAGAGTAACTCCATACTGATAAGATGGCTACTAGTTGATCTGCCTTTACAGCATGTTCCAACTAGCTCTACGCAAGAAAACCATCAGTGACTGGAGTAACAACATGGCTGGGAGAGTCCCAAGGGATTTAGCCAATTCCAAGTGGATCAGCAGCCTCATATAAGATGGTCTGGTACTGGTGGAAATTACAGTTTTCAGCTGGGACAAGAAATGCACTCCTTACTGAGCTATTTTCCACAAGAGTAGAGACTGTCACAGTGTCTGTGCTACTTCTTGCAAGATGCTAGTAACATTCTGTCCTTCTCAGAATTTCCCAAGTACTCTTCATTTGTAGAAGCAATCCTCTCTTCTTTCTGTCCTGAGCTCCTGCTAAGTAAATAGTAGTTACTCTCCTGGTGGGAAATTTACCCTGTGTGTGGAACAGAGAGTATACTGGAAATAGCAAGTGTCAGCCATGATGTTTGATGGGATGATAAAACTTGCTCCTGTTGCTTAAATGGCATCATTCCTATGAAGAAAATTATAGCCTAATGGTGGAGTATTAATCTGATGAGAGGAACTTCTCATCAGCTTGGAAATCCATGTATGGTTGACAAAACATCATCTAAAGTTGGCCCCTTGTTCCCCCTTAAAGTTTTAAGTGCACTTCAACTTTTGAAGCTAACCCATTCTGCTGGAGGACTGCCCAGTCTTGCTTTGGCTTGGCTCTTTCTCTGGATTCCTGCCACATAAGAGACGTTAGCTACTTTGGTTGTGTTTTAGAAACATGGAAAATGTGGCTCATATAAGCTTATGATAATGGATTGCTGGACTTTTCAGGCTGATGTTGTGTTTTGTGTTCTGCATTTCATGCTCAAGAATTTCCCTTGTGTAAACTTCACCCCTGTTGTTTCTTTGCAAAAAGAAGTCTTTTGGAGAGGGGAGAGGATTTACCAAGAATAGGGAGGGAAAGTGGTTTGCCATGAAATGTGTGACATATTCTGTACTTCACTGGAGCTTTGCAGCAGAATCCTGTTTTGCTGCTCTCTGATATCCTCTTTTGCTCTACATTTGACTGATGTTTGTTAATGCTTAATTACCAGTCTGCACTGCTGTTTGAACCATCTCATGACTTGTTGAGGTTCACTGACCATCACATTGCCATCCACAACCACCTTGGTTTTGTATCATCAGAGAGAAGAAAGCTGTCTGACAGAAGCACTTCTTACTGGAGCTTCCAAACAGACAGCCACCACAACTCTTATCTCATTGTAGCTAAAGATATGCTCATGAGGTAAAAGGTGAGAAAAAGGCTATTTAGTTAGTAAAATAACATATGTATTTATATATCCTACTGCCTATTTAGATTTAGGTATCCCTTCAAAAATTAGAGACCATCAAGGATTATGAGCAGATATTAAAGTGCATGATTTTATTGTGAGGCCCTTGGGCACAGGGCAAGTTTCTCTCCACGTCTCAAGAAGGGGCTCCCCACCACCCCAGCACTCACCTGCATGAGTGTGGTTGTGCTAAGGCAATGTATGGCTTCACACTTTCACTTCTCCTTTCTTCAGGTGTCTGCCAAAGGTATGGCAACATCTTGGCATCAGACTGGCTGCAGGGAAGGAGGGTTGCTTAAGAGCTGCAGAGCTGACTTGTGAGACAGTTCATTTTTTGTTTGGCCTTTGCTTCATTCAAATGCTTTGGCCATTTTTTGTTAGTTGAGCAATGTCAAACTTCTCAAGAGGACATTAAGATATGAGCACAGGCAAGAGAGGTGAAATGCACAGCTCCTGTCCCATGATGGGCTCTAATTGCTCTAAAGAATTACACACTTTGTCAAGTCCTGTTTGTAAGTCCTCTCTTGGTTCAGCCTATTTTTCAGAAGGGGAAAGTGAAGATGAACTGCTTAATTTGCATAGCACTTGGAGACAAAAATTTTCAGAAAAATTAAGGCCTTGACATGGTGATTTTTATATGCATGTGGATGTCTTGTCAGCCCATGGTTGTCCTACAGAGACAGCATTTCCCTGAATGGCTAGGTTATGCCCATGTGCACAGAGTGTATAAAGTGCTTTTCATTTCTGATAAGATGAAATGCCCTTAAAATAAGCCCTGTCCCCACAAAAATCAAGAGCAAAGCTTCCAGTGACATCTGAGGGTGCAAAGTATTACAAAACCTAACCTTCTAAAAATGACTGAAGTCTGGACAGGCCAGATTTTTCTAAGGTGCTAGTAATCTGCTGTACAGAAGAATCTCATTTCTTAGCCTTGTTTGCTGTACAAACACCTTTTGTTTTAGGAGCAGGCTTCCCATGCTGATCAGATCAAGAACTGATCATTTGACAATTTGAAAATTGAGAATTTACAGCTCAATGGAATGAGACCATAATGCTCCTGTTTAGGTACTGGAGAGTGTCACAGAAAAATCCTGAAGCATCTGTCTGAAAAGATTAGGGAGAATCCCAATTCCAGGTCTGGAATTCAACTACCCTGCTAGTTTTTCATTGTTCATATTCCAAGCCTAAACTGGAATCCAGACAGAGGCATATGGTCATTCTGCCTCTGAAGAAGATCTGAAACTGCAGGCTGGCATTTCCCTGGCCTCAGTCAGAGCTGTTCCTACTGCTGTGTTTTGTGGCACCAGCCCATTTCAGCAGCAGCATTAGGTTAAAGGATACCCAGAGGCCTCCTTGTCAATCACAAAGGAGTTCAGCTTTACTCCCAGACACATCATTCCTGCCCACAGCCAAGGTCTGAAATAAAGCTGGCCGAGGAGAATTGCTCAGACATGCAGGTCATGGGCAGGCCAGGGTTTGTGCTTGGAATGAGTCAGCCCCAGAACCTCTATGAGAGTGACATTTGAAGATGAGGGCAGAGGAAGACGGGCCATGAGTGCATCAGTAACCCTTGTGTGTGTGCACATCTAAGCTAGTCTGTGATTGAAATCCTTGCAGCTGGGTAAAAATTTTGCTTGGCAGACAATGGGGGTAGCTAGACTGGCCCTGAGGGTGGGAGGAAAGGGTAAAGGCAACTTCCCACCTGAGAAGTGCCATGACAGACACTGGACTAGATTTCATGCCCTTCCATTGATTTCTGTGCCAGGCAGCCATGGTGACTGTAGCCATACTAAAACCAAGGTTTTCCTCTCCCTCCAGGGGAAAAGAGAGGCCAGAAAAGAACCACATACACGACCTGCCTTTGGAGCTGTGCAAAGGCTGCTGCTCAGCTGAGGACCTCTGGACTGAGTTTTTCTCTGCAATGTGACCAGGTGTCTTTTGATACCTGCTGCACATGGCTGTGTGGGATTTGCTTGTGGGAATGAGAGGAAATGGCTCACTCTGTGCCAGGCAGGGTATTGCAGGAAAACTTGTGCATAAGGAGGCAGGACCAAAAAGTGCATTTCTTAGGAAATACGTTAGTCGCAGTTAACAGGATCAAGATGAGTCATGTGGACAAGAGGCAGTAATGGGACTGTTTCTGCTACTGTTTCAAATTTCCCTGTAGCTGCTTCACATATCAAGAGATCTGTGAAGGATTCGTTCCTGGGAGCAATAATGTGGAGTCCTCCTCTTGATTGTAGCAGTGTAAATCAGGAACAAGTCTTTGGAAGTGAGTGTGCATGACATAGTAAAACAGAGGTTGAAGGCATATAAATCCAAGAGCTAGGAAAGGGAAGACTAGAACATAAACTGAAATGATTGACACAAGAGGCAGTAAGAGTGCAATTCCTTCCTACAGTACTATTAACCTGACCTTAAACTTTAGGAAGAATTATTATGTAAGGACTGCTCTGCCCTGTATCCATTTTGGCTTCTGGCTGCTCTGCACCATCAGCCAGCAGGAGAACTGCTGTGAGGTGCCTGGAATCAGGGTATCCAGCAAGGCACGCTGCCCTTGTGCCAGCATATATCAAAGGATACTTATGGCAGCATGAACAGCTCTGAAGGAGCAGGCAGCAGCAGGGATTGGCGAAACCCTTTCCTTACTAACCGCACCCCGAGGACAGGCAAGCACTTGCAGGGATGTGTACTGTTTAGTCTCAATTGCTAGTTCCTATTTCTCTCAGTTCTGGATAACTGGCTGCTGAAGTAAAGGCTATTTCTAACCTCTTGGAAAAAAATTTACTTTAGCTTTCTACCTGATCATATTGGTACTGATTTTTTCCACTGTTGTGGAAAAAGGCTGGCTGGACAGTGCAGCCCAGAGCAGAGCTACATGTTCACAGAGCACCTAGGAGCAAGCCCAGAACAGCTAAGCCAGCTGGTTCTGCTTCTGTGTGCAACATATGCCATTACAAAGAGAGGGTTTGGGATGTTTGTAAGCTCTTTTTGATGAGGCAATATCTTCTTTTCCACCAAATATATGCTGTCCTAGTCTGTAGCTTTGCCTAATTTCCTATCAACAGCTTCAAGGAGACTTGGATATAAGGTGTTCACTTTTAATCCTCCGCCTGCAGGAGCTGGAGATGGGGCTTGAAGGACAGGCAAAGATATAAAACTTGTTCAAAATACGTGTTCTCCATTTCCAGTTTCCACTTCCTTCTCTTACCATATCAGGAGACGTCTATGTTTCATTTCCAGTTCTAATGGAGAACGTCTGCTAGTATTTTCTCATTGACTGCATTAATTTTAGAGAGCAATCTAGTAATTTTGTCATTCATTGTGAGCTTCTGTTCCCTCTAGTGGTGGCTGGGCTCTGTGTAAGCCATAATATATAGGGAGTTTGTTTTAGGTCTGAACCTATATTCAAGATCTGATTTACCCTCAGTCTTCATTGTTCTTCACAGATATTCACTAATAGGAAACATTTAATCCAAGCTTTGGAGTTTGGAAATAGTCTTTGTGTGGGCCTGAACTTCCCAGGACCTTTTGTGTCAAGCACCAGTCCACCAGCAGGTGTCCCAGAAGCCCAATGGTTTTCGGCACAGCAGGCACAGGATCTCTCCTACCTGGTCCTGGATCTTCTGAAGACCAGTACAGATGCTCTGCCACAAGCAGGATGCAGCGCTAAATCAAAAGCACAACGTACAAATTAAAAGTGTGTGGCTTGCAGGACTGGGTGTGCTGGAGCCAGGATCTTCACCTCACCACGTGGATATGCTCCAAGTAGCCTGCTGTTGCCTTGGTGGCTGGAGTCGGCTCTATCAGCACAGCCAGGAGAGCTTAATCCAGTATAGTCCAGAGGATTAAGAACGAGTTTCTGCAGCACAGCACAAGAAGGGGTGAGTTCAGGGATGATGTCAGGCAGATATCATATTTTGTGTCATGTTTAGCCAACATGGGACTACTGGGTTGAGATGGCTGCTTATCATTTCCCAGTGCTGCAAAGAGAGAATTGTCATTCTCATACTCCAAAAGCCCTTCATCTTTGACACGAATAAGAGCTCCATTGGGGACTTCCAGTTCTCTGTTAGCAATACCATCAACAGACAGTAGTTTCTCCAGCTCTTGCAATGGAAATGAAACCTCTGTCTAAAGGAAAAGCAGCAATAATGTTGTACTAGTTCATGATAAAAGCACAGGAGCATGTGCTAGCACCATCTAGCCAACATCCCCATCATTACAGCACCAGCTACTCTCCTCTTTTTTCCATTTTTGAGCTCGATGCAAGTAGTTGTCCTCTCTTTTCAACTACAGCTCTTACTGTCTTGTATCCTTTGTCCTCTGGCATTACGGCACATCTTCCCCCACTTCTCATTGTCTTTCAGGGAGAGGATGAGAACTTGCAGGAAACCTATTGATTATGCTGCAGTATGCGGGAGAGAGGATGTGATGTTCTGGTGGTATCCCAAACCTGAGATCCTCTGACAAGGGTGAAGCCATTCCTGCATTCTGCTTCCAATATGGGCCTGAAATAATGTGGAAATGGCTACAGTGCATGCACTGGAGAAGCTCTGCCTCAACCCAAGGCGGAAAGCAGGGAGCGGTGAAGTCACCTCTGCTGCCTGCTGTCTCCTGTTGTAGCAGCCCCAGGTACGGGTCAGCTGGACCCACCTGTCTCATTTCAAATCCATGTGACCAAAGCAGCAGGGGAGGAGCCAGATGAGCAGTAATTAATTACCTGAGGAGAGTAATCCCTGTGGACTAGGCAGTGCTGTGGGGCCAGACATCCTTGCACACTATGGAGAGCAGTACCCTGTTTCATGCCGTGGAGCCTGTCCTGGCAGCCCACCCTGTCTTGGAGCTGATCTCCTGGTCTGCTTTTCCAGGCTGTGCTCTGCCTGGGTAGTGACATGGAGGTAGTGCAGCAGTGTGTGAGCGAGGGCAGGATTTCCCTACAAGCCTCGTCCCCAGCGTGTGAAGGTCGCTGGCTCCCGGGTAAATTTCCATCAGATGCGGCACTCTCCGGCTGCGACTCAGCATTTCTGACACCCGACTGCAGCTCCTCTTTCTCATTTGATCATTTTCTTTGTAAGGGGAGCTAACAGCCGTTACTAGAGTGATTTGGCCACCATCCAACAGTGTGTATATTACTCACACATTTCCCTGCTAGCAAAAGGGGTTTTTTTTCCACTGTCTGGTTACAGCCTCTTCCTATCTTCATCATTAGATAGCTCAGAAGGTCAGTGCTAAAAGAGAAATCTTGGAGGCTTTCTTTACAACCCAGAGTAAGGGAGGGCCAGTGCTGAGGGAGAGGAAAGGGGTAAGAAGGAATGGAGGGTATGCCTGACTGAATTAATTCTTCTCTAGGATTGCCTCTGGTACAGCTGAAAACACGATCCTGGAAAATGTAATATTTATAGAAACTGTACTGCCCTGGTTGGGTAAATCTCAAGGTCATTTGATGATCACTGCAAAAGGACTGGCCAGACACTGCTGCTGTTGCCCTGGCATCATGAGACCGTGAGACCTTCAATTCAGCACTGAAATCTGCATACAAAATGGGATCGTACTACCTCTCCCTAACAACCATCTCTCCTGTAACTGCCTTAAGAAGGAAATGCACAGCCCAGCAGTGAGGAGGTTCAAAATGCCTGCACAGCTTCTTTTTTTTTTTTTTTTTTTTTCCCTCCTTTTCGTTGAGAACATTAAGAAATTAACTCTAATTCCCTCAGAGGCAGAGGTCTGCAATTCATTTCACATATAGGGCATCTCAGGAGTTTGCCTGAAGGACCAAGTGTTGGCCTGAAGCCAGTTCTTTCATTTCTGAGCCCTTTCCATTCCTTGAGGGAATTCTGCATGGACAAGCTGGATGCCAAAGTCCCCAGAGAGAAAAGAGGAGCAGAGGATTTGTGTTTTTCGCTATATCTGCTATATTCCTGCACAAAGACTAGTCCTGGCCTTATCATCAGGTGGGCACAATCCTTCCACTGCCCCCAAAATTACTAACTGTCAAAGAAATTGGTGATCATGGGGAAAGGTGAGAGCAAGGTCATGATTGCAGCTATTTCACTCTGGTCCAAACAGCTGTGCAGATCTAAAGAGTGAGGGGTCTCCACTGGAGAAAACAGAGTCAAGGAGGCACTGTCCTGAGGCACGTACAGGAGGAGGCACCTTCTTAAGCACAGAGCAACATCTTCCCTAATATTTTGTTTCTGAAGTATTTTCTCCAGTGGGGGTGCTTGCAAGTCTTTAAATTTTGTGTGTGCAGTTAATAGAGTAAATTAGGGTAATTATTTGTGTCTTCAAACATTTATTCAGCTGTTAACCAAAATTCTTGATTGCAGTAGCAGTATTTTAACCAATGCAGCAATGCAAAGCAGTAATAAAAAAAAAAAAAAAAAAAACAGAAAAAAGTCAGACTGTGACACAATGGTCTGTAATAATAATAATCTTGTTGCAACTGAAACAAGGAGCATGCAAAAACATACAGGAAAGGTGAAATCTCAGAAGAGTAACAGGCACGAGAGATACCTTTCTGCTGTTCATGACCTTGGGTCAGATTCAGCTAGGCCACACAGATGCGTGTGCCTAGCTGTACTGGAGCATGTCCTTTGGTGCTCGCTCAGCTGAGGCTGGAGGGCTTCTGTGAGCACCTCCCTGCTTCTCAGCCCTGCAGCACTCCAGAGAGCCATTCCCTTCTGGGTAACTGGAACCTGCTCTGCTTGTCTCCATGGAAATACTACAAATATCGCCTGTCTGTCAAGCTGCTCTGAGGTGGATTCAAGCCTGGTATGTACTGTCTTGGTGAGGAGTCAGTTCTGATGCAGAGTTCGTGAGTAGGCAGCTGGCCAATAATACACAGCTCAAGGGAAGTTGGGGAAAACACTGGAAGACTAACAATTCTGAACACAGTGTCTAACCTGAACCTAAGCCAAGTTCAATGGCTCATTAAACTCAGGTGACAGGATTCTGTGGGTCAAGGGGAAATGGATGAGGAAAAATGCTGTGGAAAAGCATTAACTTAATGATGCAGGTGAAGGTGAAGACTGTATGTGAACAAGCAGTGCTGTACATAAACATGTTCAAACACGAAAGGGAGGTATAGGGTAAGACAGTTTAAAGCATTTGACCTCCAAATTCCCAGATCGAACCTCCCTGCTCTAGGAAGGAAAAATTATGTATAGATTTGAAGGTGGGTGCTATAGGGAGAGCAGTAGTTTCTGGTCTCTCTGAAGATTAAAGGCTGTGAAGGGTATGAATTCCTAGCCTAGGATGGTCTGTCTTGCTAGGGCTTGTGTGAAATTGAATCCACTCTGGAGAATTCATACCAGAAAGGCTGCAGCTCATACTCATGACATTCTCAGGGATTAGAAAGATGAATTTTCATGGGCCAAATTACTTTAGAGATTCTGGCACTGTCATATCAAGGTGAATCCTATTATCCATCCGGGGTATGCAGGACAATATGAAAGCACCACTGGGGTATGGAATGGAGAGGCAGCTAACTTGCATGGGAAGAGATGGTTGAATGCATCAGTGGGAGAGAGGCCTGTGTGTACACTGTCTTGATAAACTTCAAAATTTAGGGCAGAGAACACAGGCTGAGCACAGTCTCTTCTTGTGTTCAGTGTTGTCCTAGCCATATTCGGGAGAATATAAGGCTGGCTTTTAATCAGTGAGGTCCGGCTCAAAGGGGCAACATTTGCATGATGCATCCAAAATAAGCCTCCATTAGGAACCCTACGCTGTTCCTCAACAAACTTTTTAACTTTTCTTTGAATCCTTTCAAAAGGAAAATACATTGCCCGGATTTGCCAGCTACCTTGATGATTAATGGAATGCTGAGGCATCAGGTGTCATCAGATGGCCTCACACAGGGGTCTGGTAAACAAGAAAGACAAAGCTGTAGCTCAAACATTGTGGAGGCCTTTGTCTGCTTGGTTTTTTTTTCTCTTATTTTTTAATGCTTCTTGTTGAAAAACTGTAGTGTAATAATTATTATGCTTATGTACCAACACATGTAAAGGAGGCATGAGTAAAATTCTCTTCTTAGGCCTTGTTCTTTGGCTATAGCACCAACTCCACAGTCATTTTCTCCTTCTGGATGTGGGATCAATAATAAGTATATACATTTTTAACACTAGAGCAACCATGCCAAACAGTGCCAAAGAGGCCCTACAGAGAGTGCACAGGTTAGGGGTATGTCAGGTAAGAGGAACATAATCTATTCATTCACTCCCTCTAACACTGTTTCATGCCTTTTAAATTATGAAGAAGTCACAAGAGTCTCCGCCTCCTTGCACATTTTTGAAAGAACTCCAAGCAGAATGACCTCCTTCTCTGTTCTCTTGGTGAGAGGACACCCTTCTGCCTACAGTGAAAGGAAGAAAATACAAGCATCTGCTAGTCCAGCAGACATATTTCAGCAGTGGAAGTTTACAGGTCTTGCCTGGTATTTTCCCTCTTCCTAAAGCACATGTTAACAATTTTGACCTTTCTAGTAATTTGATTCCAAAAACAGTGTTGCAGCAGCTGAGCCCTACGATGCCATTTGGAAGATTATTATCACTCTGAAATCAAAGCAAGCAGCTGCTCGTTCGAGCCTGTATGGAGATCCCCTCACTCATGCAGATCCTCCTCTCTCATCTCTCCGTGTCCTCAGCCCTGGGCCTGCTGTCAAGAACTTCCAGTCTTCTTAGCCAATGTAAAGGACAAATATGCTGCCAATTCTCTGCATTTGTGTAGTACAAAAAAGCTGTAGGAGAGCCAAGCTGGTTGAATATACTAAAGGCATCCTTGCACCCAGGTACCTCGGATAGAGGGGGCAGGGTCTGTAAAAACTTTTGTTCATGGTGTGCAATTAGTTGAAAGGACACCTAGGCTATTTGCAGATAGATCAGAAAGCGTTCTCTTCTTGCCTTAAGCAGAAGCTGGCTCATGCAAAAGTTCTTGTTCCAGATCTGCATTTCCTTGGCTCCTCCCACAGTGTGAATAATCCCTAACGTTTCCGTGACTCAGTGGATTTGCTATGGAAATCATGGCAATATTTTCAGAGTCATAGTCTAATACCTGAGCCCCGACAGGATCCGTGCCCCCACATCTCTGGCATTTTGCATAGTTATGTAACGCCTCTTACTCATGGCACTGAAGTCAGGAGAATGTCCAAGTTGTGAGGAGCAAGTGAAATTTGGAGTAAAAATCCAAACCTCCCTTTCCCTCACTCCTGAAAACCTTATCATTCATGTTTGAGTATGCAACATTTTTTAAAATGTGATTTGCATCTATCTTGCTCTGTTGGTGAGAACAAAAGGGTTACAACTTTATTTTAAATTTCTTCCTTTTGCATGGCAAAATTCAAGTTACTGTGTGGAAAAAAAGTCTGATCAGCTACTTCACGAGACTAACATGAGCATCTGCCTTCATCTTTGCCATTTCATCCCCTTTTCTCCTGGTCCCCTCCCTGCTTTTCCCTAAATGCTTAATAAGAACAGTAGCTGGGAGACCAGGTGTGTAAAAAAAGAGAAAGTAATCTCATCCGTATAACCCCCTAAGCCCACAGCTGTGTTTCTTATATCAACTGAATATAAAACTGTTCTCAGAAAACTGATAATAAAAATAATTTTAGAGGCTCACTGTTCCGTGCAGAGCAGTAGCTGTCCTCAATGCAGTTTCTGGTTGCTCCTTTATGCAAAGTATCCTTTCTGCTGTGTGTGACAGAGGTTGTTCTCCCAGGTTAGATGGAGCACTCACAATGAGTGCAGAGGCCACAGAGCCTTGTCAGGGGGTGGCTACACTGGGGAGTGGTCACAAAAGAACTGTTCAGATATTTTTATGGGATATTCAGAGAGGGTCTTTTACCTGGCTAACTGAAAGGTAGGAGTAAATCACCTTGCAGTGAGTTCACATTTATGAATATAAATAGGATTTGAAAGTGGTAGGTGTGCATGGCTTCCATATCAGCCACAGCTGCCTTCTCTAGGCCATAATCATATTTTCTGAGAAGCTGTATAAGCCACTACTGCTGTCTGTAATAACAACAGTAGCACTGACTGCTCTGCTCATATACTCATATAGCCATGGTCTCTTACAGCAAGAGCTGCCTCCCTTGAGGCTACAGAGAGCAGATCCACCTGCAGACTGCCATGCCGCAGCTGTTGAGCAGGTGGGGAAGACAGAGCCAGAAAAGCAGTCATACATTGCAAAGCCACTCTCAGGTTCTGTTTCACAGGTCAAGAAACTGAGACAGATGGAGGGCAAGTCATTTTCTCAAAGTGATATGAGTAATACCACTGGCAGTGCCAGGTCTCGAAACTAATCCTGGCTTAGGCCATGTTCTTGGAAGCGTACAGTAAACTGCACAGCAACATCCCTGGGCTTCTTGCTCTTGCCCCAGGGAGACTCACTGCAGACATGTGGCACAGCTGGCACTGAGGGTGCACCACTGTGTTGGCTCTAGTCCAGCAGTACTGCTGTGGGACCTTCCCCTTTCTTTCTTCTGTGGTGAGCAAGTAGTGATTATTTACATAGTAGGCGCTCTTTCCTAAATTAAAATGATCTCTTCTGGGTTTTGGTCCTGTTCAGCTTGGTCTTCCCTTTTTTGGCACATGATGTAGTTGGGTGACAGGATTATCTATAGATAACATCTGGCACGGGCACAAACACTGACATTTAACAAACCAGTAGGGAAGAAACAAAGGAATTGTTGATTGCTGGTGCTCCAAGAATAGGCTGCACTGAGAGCAAGCACACCTTCTATTTCCCCTCTGCTCCTTGTCCCTTCAGTATCCTTTCCCAGTGCACTCTGAGCTGTAGTTCCCACTTCTTTTCCCCCCTCCGTCACTCCCTACAATTGGCTGCCCTGGGAGCACGTTAAACTCGGGTGCTCCATGCCCTGATTGCACCAAAGTCTCAGCAGACCATGGGCAAAAGTTGAAACTGTCACCTTTTTTTTCAGTCACAGGTATTGCAGTGTGAAGGATCATGACTCTCACCAACTTCTCTAACTGTGAGCCTGGGGTGCACCAATCTGCCCCATTCCTAGATTCCTAGATCTTTTTTCTGCCATTCTGCCAAAATTCCATCTTTTTATTTGCCGAGTTCTAAGGTTCTGCTAGACCCTTGTCTCTGACTAAAGAGCTTGCTCACCCATGAGCCCTGTTTTGGACTTTGATCTTCCTCCTGGTCCTCCAGCTTGGCCAAGTCCTGGGCTAGAGCAGATAGTCAGGTACGCAGTACAGTCTGCAGGGAGAGTGAGGGCTGTAAAGGAGAAACACAAAGGAAATCATCCCAAACAATGCTTTTGGCAGCAGTTTGATTGCACATGATGTGATATCGCAGAATCACAGAATCACTAGTTTGGAAGATACTTTCAAGACCATCAAGTCCAGCCCAGCCTTAACACCTCAACTAAACCATGGCACTGAGTGCCACATCCAGTCATTTTTAAACACATCCAGGGATGGTGACTCCACCACATCCCCAGGCAGACCATTCCAGCACTTTATCACTCTTTCAGTAAATAACTTTTTCCTGACATCCAACCTAAATTTCCCTTGGTGAAGCTTATGTATCCATCCTGGGCCACATCTAATCTTGTCTTCTTGTCTTTTCTTGTCTTGTTATTCTTGTCTTTCAGGAAAAGTG